ATCTATCTATCTATCTATCTATCTATCTATCTATCTATCTATCTATCCATCCATCCATCCATCCATCCATCCATCAACCTCCATTGCACGTTTATAACTGGTCCAAAGTGCTGCAGCCCGATTTTTAACTGGTGCAGGCAAAAGAGAGCACATTACTCCAGTTTTGTCCTCCCTTCACTGGCTCCCGGTTCACGTTTGAATTCAGTTCTAAATCCTTCTGTATGTTTTTAAATCTCTGAACAACTCTGCGCCCTCTTATCTCACTGATCTGCTGCAGCCATATGCCCCACAGCGGCGCTCTCTGAGGTTCAGCAGATCAGATGCTTCTATTGGTTCCAGGAACCTGTTTTAAGCTCAGCGGTGACAGGGCCTTCTCTGTTGCAGGTCCAAGGCTGTGGTTTACCACCACATGTCAAGCAGGCTTCCTCTATCACAGTTTTTAAGTCTCGCTTAAAAACTCAATTTTGTTCCCTGGCTTTTGACACAATGTTTTGTTTTTAACCCGTCTGTTTTTTACATTGTTAGCCATTTATTTATTATTTTATTTTATTTGGATCTATGTATTTTTTGCTGTGTGCTTTGCCTGTTTGTTTCTGCTGTACAGCCTTGTTGCTGTTTTTAAGAGCTTTATAAATGAACTGGGATGGTGTCCACGTAGCTGGGCCGGCGTTTTATTTTGACACCCCACCGGAAGTGGTCCGTCGTAGTGCGCGCGTGCTGACGCAGCTTCTTCTCGGAGCAGCGGGCTGTGATGGCGGTGTCTCCGCTGCTGCTGCTGGAGCTGGCTCTCTACACCAGCTGCTTTGTTTGTGGGATCGTCACCGCCGCGTCTCTCACCATCGTCCAGGTTTGTTTATGAAACATTTGTTGTTTTTAACTGAAAAAACTTTGACCGGAAACATTTTCACTTTCATTTCCGCTCGAGTGAACGAGCTCCAGAGTTGGTTGAAAAAAGTCCAAACATACTCGACTGGATTAAAAAATGTTTTTATTTTTATTGGAGCGTCCCGTTAACTTTTCACGGTTTGTCTCGTCTTTAATCTCCAGATTAAATTTCTCCGCCGAATGGGTGAAAATTAGATTAAAAATGCACGCGCTCTGCGTTGATTTGGATGTTGAGGACTCACCTGAGCGCGCTCGATGCTCCCTGCTGCTCACGCGCTTGTTTTTATTAACACGACTCGGAGGCGACAACTTTAAATTCGACTCGTTTTAACTCCGATTCTGAACCAGTTTTCTGTTGTTTAACCAGGAAACGCGCGTGTAAACGTGCAAGCGCGAGTCTTGTGACTCAGTGCCTCGCGAGTTAAATTGCGTCATTTTGTGAACAGTTTCAGCTGCTCGTGCCTTCAGCTGTTCAGTTTCAGCTCGTGCTTTCAGCTGTTCAGTTTCAACTTGTCTGCAGCTGTTTCAGCTTGTGTCTTCAGCTGTTTCAGCTCGTGTCTTCAGCTGTTTCAGCT